CTCCCTTTCACATCACTGGTCAGATTTTGACACATAAAAAGAATGTCATCCATAATGTAAACAAGAAAGTACATCTAGAATAATTCTTATTATACAGCAAATGATTTGCCATTGATGAAGATTTTGTTGTGGAATATATATTGAAGTCGGATGAACTTTCAGGAAAGCTAAACATGAGGGTTGCACCTTAAATTTTCTGTTAGTTTGTTTGACATGTGCCAATAAATTTCATAGAATTTGATAATTCTAAGTGCTTGCAGTGGAGTATGGTAATTCTTTATTTTATGAATTATAAAGAATCTTTTTCGAAATATCCAAAGAGGGAGTAAGAAATGGGTCTGTGTTGGAGGTATATTTTTCAGATTTGGAGGCAACATGGAAGAATTATCAATGGAAGACCTTGTACAATTTAAAGTCAATGTCGAGATTGTTAGAATTTTGATTTAGTATTATACAATAAAGATAGGATAGTGCTTGTCTAGAACCAAATATATGTTCTATTTCTTTATTTGTACTTAGACTATTATGAATTTCGCATCGAATAGAAATAACAGGACTCTCCTTTTGTGTCATATCGTATTTTATTTATCGAAAGTTTAAGATGGTCATGCATGTACTATATTCATGTGAGACTTGATGATATTTTGTAGGCTCACTCGATTCGATTTTGGGGGCATGTTCGAGAATTTGGGGTATGTGAGAGATTCAATACAATTTTACAAAATTTTCATATGTTGAAAGTCTGTGTCTTTGGAAACTTATGATTTTTCTCCGATTTTGAGAGTTTTTCACGTAAATTTTTATATATGTTATTCATCTTTATATTTTCTAGCTTCCAAATAAATTCTCTAAACAAGGATACTGCGAACAAATCAAGATATTGATTTCAATGCCCCAATATTTTTTCAATTCCCACCCTGCCTCCCAAAAATCTCTTATGGGGGTGGGGGGTGTGGATTGTAATTACTAACTTTGTCTCGCCTTGTTAAAAGTCGGCTCGTGAAACTCATGAACTAGCCATCGGAGCTTGAGTTCAGCTTGCTAGGTCAAACTCAAGCTTGAGCTTAGTTAAAATTGAATCCAAACCGTTCAAGGGCATAAGCATTCGACCTCATTTCTATCCTTAATATTAACTCGAAATCAGTAAACCTACTGGAAAATACTAGCCAATTACCAACCATTGGCAAGTAAAATTAGGTTATCGTCTCTGTCAAAATATGAGAGCAACGAAAGTGAAAGATTAATGATTAAATGCGTCGTGACAAAATAAATAGGATCCGATATGTTAATTAAGAGTGGAAGTGGCCTCTTTATCGTGGCATCTATGCATGATTTAATCTGACAAGGAAAGGCATTATTTGTGTGGGAGTGCTTTGGTGGATTCACTCATCATTACTATATAATCAAAAGAGCAATTCCTTCCCCCCAAAACTAAAGCCTTTCTTACTATCAAAGATTCAAACCAAATCATTCACATTTGAAAATCTGTCTCCATGAATCCACTTCTGCATGCAACGCCCGCACGAATAAAGGATCCATCATAATTACTTGTATATCATCAAACGTCTGCCTCTTCTTATAATTCTTTGATTGCAGGATTCATGAAAATTATTTGTTTTCGAATAAAGAATGGGATACATGTTTTCATTTTATTCACTTTTTTTTTTAAAAATATTTTTAATAGTTTTTATGATAATAATATTTGGCAAAAACCCTTCATTTATTGGCTACCAGAAAAAGACACACTCTTGCAGAAAGCCCGGAAGGAATAGCACCACCACTAACTTACACATAACACACTGCTATATCTAAGATCCTTTTTGATTGTAAGGGTGAAAAAGACAAACAAATTTCATATAAGTTAGAAAAGAAAAACCCATCAAAATCATAGGAATGCATTTTCCACTCAATTGGCCAAAGACATGCTTTAAGTGTTTGTACCTAGGAATTCGAATTCCATTTCCACTTTCGTATCAAATAGCCAAAGTAGAAAACGAATTCCTTGGATGTGACATTTTCCATAGAATTGAAACCAATCAAACGGGTCCTAAATATCTTTTGTTAACCAACAGTAAGCCCTTCTTGTTATGAGCTTCATTTTCTTCCAAAATGCATTTTTACTTTTTTCTCTTTTTCAAACACACATTTTTCAATAAAATAATATTACACGTGAGTTCAAAATTTTTACTTATTTTTTATTCATATTTTCCAAAAAAATCACTATTCCTAAATACAACTGGTGAGAGAAAAATAGAAATACAATTCACATAGGGACTGAAATAGCAAAAGAGGCAAAGCTAATTGCGAGCAAAACGATATCTCCAAGAAACTCTACAATATCTTAAAGAAGCGAAGCATATGGAACTAAACTAAAATTCGAGTGGAAATATTGGATAACCCTTGGAGCATCACTCTCAGCAACAGCAATACAAAACCCATTATTTTTTGGAATAGTATTGCTATATAATTGTTTTCATGTAATAAATTATATAAAGGGGTCGTTTGATCATTTAGTTGATTTATTGTAAAATATTGTAAAGGTGTTGAATAAAAAAACATGTTTCACCAAATGCATTGCTATTTTATAGGGCCCTTTCTCATCATTTCTGGAATATTGGGAGCATATAGAGGCCCACTCCCACTTTTTGTCGTAAAGAGGTGTTGACTACAACACTATTAGCCTTAGAAAATGCAAGTAAGTTTTTAGTGTTAAGTTATATATACAAAATTGATTGACAAAGTAATATTTATACCAATTAAATCAAAATAGATTTTTAAATCATTAAAAATTAACAGCCTAGATTTTATCAACACTTATTTTTGGGATTTGGATTAAAATCAGTTTTAATCTAAATTAAAGTCAAATAATCAATATTAATCATATTTTTCATTGATCTCACAGTTTTTCGACCACACTTTTAAAAAATTTCTATCATAATCTACTAAAAAAATTTAATTTTAATTTACGCCAAACACAATCATCGTTCTTGCCAATTTAAACTTTTATGAAAGATAATTTAGCTTGTTTGATAAAATTGTTTAAAATTCATTTCCAGTAACACATTATCTCAATAAACTAATTCTTTATGTGATCTATAGTTTTTTTTTTTTAAATTTAACCATAAATTCTCTAACAGAACTCAATTTTTATGTATATCTTAGCCCCGTTTGGCATTCATTATTTCAAATTTTTAATGGGTAGAATAATATTTTTTTTTAGAGAATGGGTGAGAAAAATAAAAATTAATTTAGTGGGGGACCACACAGGAGCTTAATCCACCGTATTACTCTAGCTTGTTCACATTCCATGCTTACAAATACGATAGTAGATAGCTTAAACACAAAGCATATCTTGAACCAAGAAAATAATACGATAATGTATAAACTTGGGACATATATATTATGATAAAACGTTACTCCGGAAATTTTATTGAATTATATGACTTTTTTTTTCCAGAACTCACCTTTAAAAATAACTTTTTCATTTTAAGAGTCATCACAATTAAAAATATATACTCTAAAAGTGCTATTTTTTATAATAAATAAATAAAATTATATTCTACTAAGGGTGTGTTTGATTACATTTATTTTCTATGAAAAATATTAGTTTTTCACCCAAATTCTTACTTAGAATATTTGATTGCTATTTTTTTTATGAAAAACATTTTCCAACTTTTTAAAATATGCCTAATTTTAAGGAAAACATTTTCCTTGGGTAGAAGTGATTTTTATTTTCCACAAAAGATTAAAAATATTTTTTTTAGGTGATATTTTTCATGGCAATCAAAAGTAAATTGTGAATTCTTGATTGAAGTTAGAGCCCTGCTCCCTGTCCCGGGTTGGGGACAGGGGCGCCACATGGCTCCCCCTATTCGAGGGGGGCTTGCCCCTGATTTATTCTTGAAGTTAATATGTAACTTCAAATTATAAAGATATTTTAATTAAATCCAAATAAGATCTAAGCCCTTGTTTAAGCCATATTATTTTAATAAGAATGTATTTTTAAATATTGTATTGATAAAAATGTGTGGTTAAAAAATAAAAAAATTTAGATTTACGCGTAATATTATTTTATTGAATAATGTGTGATTAAAATAATATCAAAACTTTAAGAACTATTATTTTAAATATAATTAAAAATTAACGATTATTTTCATCAAATTTTAATATAAATTTGACCAAATTGAGCGAAAACCGATTGAAAAATGGAATTTAGCTGGTATCTCAGTGCCAAACGTTGAAAATGGACCTAGAGAGAGAGAGAGAGAGAGAGAGATATGCAGCTGGATATATTGTACAGAAAAGCTGTATTGCATGAAGTGACTGGAATGCAGATGTCTCTGCCCGTCAAATCTATCCGAGCCTCTGACTGTAAAAATTAAAAGCAATCTTGTTTGGTATTTATCTCTGACTACCCTCTTTTCCCATTGGTTCTATATATCTCCACTAGATTCACAAAATAATTGTATCATGTTTGCCGAAACTTATAAGATGCTTATTAATGAGCAACTTAATTAAGAAATATCCTGTTTGAGCCACTTATGATAAAAAAATATATTTGGAATAGTTATTTTTTGAAGTACGTGTGATTAAAATAAAGAAAAAAATTTCAGTTTATATGTAAAATATTTTAAGAAAAAATGTATGTTTCAAAACGAGTTTTTGAAAAAAAAAAAAAAGAAAAAAAAAGAGAAAACCCACAAAAGAAATTGAAAGAAAAATGAACTAAAAAATTGTAATATTTTTTGAATAAACTTATAAGATGCATGTACAAAATTTAATCAAGATATATCTATTAATAACTGTAGCACTTATAAGAAACTTTTTTGGATTTTTTTTCAGTGAGCTTTAGCCTAAACCGACAATGAAAAAAAGAAAGAGACAAAAGAAAAGAAAAAAAAGTCGAAAAACAATGCACACTTTGCCACTGGGTTATTTTTATTTTAACTGGTCAGGTTCCTCTTACCATAATTGCATAGTATTTTTTATATATACAAGTGCATTTGGGGTATTGGCTTCATGTCATCTTTTCTGGGTTTAAGGTAGGGTTCCAAGAGTTGGGCAAGGAAATTATACAAGAAAAAAATTAGCAAAAGGCTCCTCCTTCCTAGATACTCCAAAGATATGGATGTACACAGATCCCCATGGACTGCTACCCATTTCCCAGCATTTGTTTCTGAAAATTCGTTCTTTTTGTTTAATTTAAAAGGACCTGTATTGTTCTCTTGAAGGGAGAGAAGAGTTTTCTTGTTGGCCAATGCCTTTCTTGTTCTTGTGAAATTTCTGCAACAAAACTATAAAAGAAGATTTAAGTTTTTCAGATGAAGAATCATATTAGAGAAATAATTACTTTTTTTGCTCTCAACGATTGACCTGCCCTGAGAACAGGCAACAAAAGAGAGGGGGGAGAGAGAGAAAAAAATTGAATCTGTAGAAGATGAAGTCCATGAATGATAATAGCAATGGAAGCAATGACAATAACTGGTTGGGTTTTACTCTCTCACCCATGAATATGGAGGGCTCTTCTTCAGACCCTCATCCTCATCATCAGTTCAATCATAACACTGATGCTCCTCCTGCTACCACTGCAGTTCCATCAAGCAACTTCTATCTTTCACCTCTTCACTTAAATACTTCGACAATCTGTTACGGAGTAGGTGAAATGGGTGGTTTTCACTCTCCTTTGTCAGTAATGCCTCTTAAATCTGATGGTTCACTTTGCATTATGGAAGCATTCTCTAGATCACACGCACAAGGTTAGTTAGGTTCTTATTATGCCATCCATTTTTATTCATTTTCTTTTTAACTTAATATTGAATCTTTAACTCACATTTGTGATTCGTTCATGTAGCTATGGCGCCAAACTCCTCTCCTAAACTGGAAGACTTCTTGGGTGGTGCAACAATGGCTAGTCATGGAGAAACAATGGCTTTAAGCCTAGACAGCATATTCTACAACCAAGAGTCCATTAGGCAGCAGCACAACCATCAGTATTATTCTGAACTACAGTACAATGGTATGTACCAGAGAGTAGACGAGGAACAACCTAAGGAAACTCAACTTGTAGACTGTAACACACATGTTCCTTCGACAACTGAAGATGAAATTCAACGTCTGAAAACATGGGTGGATCACCATCCCTTAGAGCAGCAGGTAAATGGTTGTATGGTTGAAGATAGAGGTGCTTCAGGCTCTAAAACTTGTGGGGATTTGCAGTCTTTGAGCTTGTCCATGAGTCCTAATTCTCAGTCTAGTTGTGTCACTGCTTCAAGACAAATCTCACCCACTGAGTCTCACTGTATAGCCTTGGGAACCAAGAAGAGGGGATCTGAAAAAGTTGCGCAAAAGCAAACTGTTCATCGGAAATCTATTGACACATTTGGTCAAAGAACATCTCAGTATAGAGGTGTAACTAGGTTAGTCCACTCTCTCTAGTTTCCACTGTATCATTACTTGCACAATTTTCTTGCTAGACTAGACAAGATCTTCAGTATTGTTTACAGCCCATTTTGGTTGGGTGGTTTACAAAATTTTCATGGTCTTTTGGCCTGTTTTCTCCTTGATTTGATGGGACATTTTTGTATTATTTTTTTTAGGCATAGGTGGACTGGAAGGTATGAAGCTCATCTGTGGGATAACAGTTGCAAGAAGGAGGGGCAGACTAGAAAAGGGAGGCAAGGTTAGCCAAGAATAATGGATACACTCTATAATATTCTTTTGGACGTATTATGAGTTCTAGCTCCATTTGATTGTCTAACTTTTGGTTTGATTTTTCTTGACATGTTCCATTATTGTTCTGGATCATATGCTGTTTCCATCAAATCATATAAATCTCAGTTTATCTGGGTAAGATTATTGTTTTCTGAAATGTGAACCTATTTAGTGTAGATTATGAATTAAAAACTTGTAAAAATCTCATTCTAGGTGGTTATGATATGGAAGAGAAGGCTGCAAGAGCATATGATCTTGCTGCCCTTAAGTACTGGGGACCCACGACTCATATTAATTTCTCTGTATGTATTATTTTTTTACCTCGGGTCGGTTTAGTTTTCTTTTGATGTTCTCAGCCAACAAAATTACAGTGTCATTACTATTTTGCAGTTGGAGAACTACAGGCAAGAGCTTGAGGGGATGAAGAACATGAGTAGACAGGAATATGTCGCACACTTGAGAAGGTTTATTAATCGAAAAATAAGAAAATCTGGCTAATGGGTTTTAACTCCTAATATTTTTCGCGTAGAATTCTCATTTACAGCTTTTGTTTTCCAGGAAGAGCAGTGGATTTTCAAGGGGAGCTTCAATGTACAGAGGAGTAACGAGGTTCAACTGAATATACCTTTCGCTAGATAATATTGTATTATTCATAATATTAAGAGCCTTTTACGAGTTTCAAGTTGCATAGCCTTAAAAGTCGGGTTTTACGCTTACAGGCATCATCAGCACGGGCGATGGCAAGCTCGGATTGGCCGGGTCGCCGGGAACAAGGACCTCTATCTTGGAACTTTCAGTAAGTTCTCATCAATGGACTTTTATTGTCTTACAGTTTCAGTATGTGTTGCATCATTTATTAAAGTTGTCTGCAAATTGTAGCATGCTTTTTTATAAGGCTGTTCACACACACCTTTTGACTGATGGTTGATTTTTAGTGGGAATGAACTTTTATAAGGCTGCTGCTCCTTGAGACAAAATGATAAAGATAGCTACAAGTCATTTTTAGCTAAATTCTTGATCAAACTTTATGATTTTTAATTAGAGAACCATACGTAAGGTTTTCTTTCCACTTCTAGTAGAAATTTTTTATAATATTCCGGGGACGAGAGCAGGCCTGTTAGAACGGTGTAATATTGTGTACTAAATGAGGTTTTGGCTATATCATTTTTTTTCTTTAACTTTAGGTACTCAAGAGGAAGCAGCTGAAGCTTACGATATTGCTGCAATCAAGTTCCGGGGTGTAAATGCTGTGACAAACTTTGATATATCGAGATATGACGTAGAGAAAATTATTGCGAGCAGTACGCTGCCTACTGGGGAGCTAGCAAGGCGAAATAAAGAGAGGGAGCCGCAGCCTGAGGCCATTGAGTACAGCACATTAGCACAGAAACCGGAGGGATTTGCTCGACTGGAGAATGTACCTGATTGGAAAATGGTGCTATACCAATCCTCCAGTCATCAACAAAATGATTCTTTGGAATTAGTGAATGAGAAAAGAATGCATTCAGGAAATTATCAAAACCCTTCTTTCTCAGTAGGGCTGCAGGATCTGATTGGAATCGACGCGTCTAATATCAACGAGCCGGTTACGGAGGAACCTATCAATCCTGGAACACAACACTTTTCGAACCCATCATCTTTGGTTACCAGCTTGAGCAGCTCAAGGGAAGCAAGTCCAGATAAAACAGGTGCTTCCATCCTCTTTGCAAAGCCTACTACCCTCACCACCAAGTACGATGGCCCCTCCGCCTCTGCCTCGACTTACGATAATACCTGGATGCACGCTACTACCCAACTGAGGCCTCTTCCACTTTCAATTGCTCAGTTGCCAGCTTTTGCTGCCTGGAATGATACTTGAATTCTTCGTCATGTTGTTGCATATATCTTTATATTATTTTCTTTTTTTGCATGATCAAGAAAAGCCGAAAGCAAATGTGTAACATCGGAAATTAATGGAGGTCCGAAGGTGGGGTCCAGTTATGTTTCTGTGAAATGTATTGGGAAATCAAGATTTTGCAAAATGGAGGGAATGGGTTATGGAGGGCCTCAATGATTTAGTACACTCTCTATACTAGAAACTGCTTTTATTTATTTTCTTTTGATTTCTAATAATGCAAAATGCTAATGCTTTGACTACGCCATCAAGATTTTGTACCTAAACTGTAAATACACAATCATAGTTCTCTTTTTCCTCTGAGCTTTCCCCAAAAGTAACTGACATTCCCTCCCATAATTCATCAAGAGTGGGAGGAGATTCTTATTTAGTGCGTTGGTTTGCTTTTGAAAGTTTATGGGGCACCATATGATTGTTTATACTTTTGTCCCCTATTTTATGTGCTTAAAATTTCCTATGCTTTTTTTTAATCCACTTGATGTTATCTTGGATCTGAAAGTAATTTTATGTTTTGATACGTCACTTGTACTAAATAATCATTTTACCTCATAGCAAAAACGTACACAACATGTAGTGTGTTCTTAGTATGTATATATATGTGTATATATATTATTCTTTGTTGATGATGGGACAACTCGTAATTGCTACCTTTCGGGAGCGCACCGGGTAAATCTAGAGATGGCAAAAAGGTTCTAGACTCAGTCAAAATGAGCCTCGACCCGAGCCGACTCCAAAAAAAAATAAAGAGACGTTAAAAGGCATCAAGCCGTTGCCTTAGAAAAGCCAGTTTGCTGCCTTTCGAAGGAGGAAAAAAATGAGGGGGAAATAAACGAGCTGGCTCGGCCCGTTTTGGCTCGAGCCGAAAGCTCAGGCTGAGCCTATATTTTTTAGCTCGGCTCGACTCGGGCAAAAAAAAAGTCCATTTTCAAAAAGCTCGAACCTTGATTTTCGGCTCGACTCGGCCCGTCGCCATCTCTAGGTAAATCTTTGGACTGACGCAATAGCTTGCAAATCACACAAACTAGGTAAAATATACTAGGCAAGTTCGATGCGACAAGCTCAACCAAGAAAGTGTTAATAGGGAGAATCGAACTCGTAACCAAAGATCTCCGTGTTTACCTACTCTATCAACTCGGCTACCTCATGAGAGGCATGTTCTTAAATTATAAAGTAAAAATAGAGGTTCCTTGACTTTTTAATATGTTTTGGTTCTCTAACGTTTAAAAGTGAGGTATTAATGCCTAGGGTTGGCAGTCCGTGGCTCGGCTCAGCTCGACTTGGCCTGGTTCGAGGCACAGAGACATTGAGTCAAAGCTTGGACTAAACCCCATTTTGGGGAGCCAGCTCGAGCTTGGGCAGGTGTCGAGCCACACGGGCCAACTCGTTTAAATTTGAAATAAAAAAGGGGAAAAAAATTTAATCTCAACAGTCATGAAGTTGTCGATTAAGGCAGCATAAAGAAGCTGCATTTTAGTTGCCAAACAGATAGAAAAGGGGAAAAAATTTGAGCAAGCTTGGCTCGACTGGGCTCAAGTCGAAAGCTCGAGTCGAGCTTTAATTTTTTGGTTGAGCTTTTGCTTGGCTTAACTCGAGCCAAAAAAAGCTCAAGTAAAAAAGTTTGAACCGATACTAAGTCGGGAATTTCGACTCGAATCTATTCGTTGACACCCCTATTGATGTATGTTGACTATGAAAATTAGATTAACAAATCTTATTCATCTAGCTGTAAGTTTCACTTTTTAAATTCACTATTTTGGTTATTCAAACAAGAGCAAGAAATAAAATAGTTATTTGAGAGGGAGATATTTGAATTACATGCTATCTTCTTCAATTGAAGGGGTATTTATAGGTTTATCTCCAAAATTTGAGGTAATTTGGTCATCATAGAGGAACGACAAATGGCAGTTTTTTGTTGGCTTCTTGATAACTGATTCAGTTTACGAGTATTATGCTTTACATGGGTGTTGATTGCTTGTAATCAGTCAGGATGAGAGAAAGGTTTACGTCTCATGATTGAAACCCTTTATATTTTCCTTCTCTTTGCATATGATTACATACTTCGCAAGGCATGCAATAGGGTTTGAGGAGCGAATTTTTTGGAGTTAAGAAATAGTCATTGAAATTCAATTTTAATATTCATATTAGTTCTAGGACTTGTTTATTTCAATATGTTGTGAATCCATTATTACTCACATATTTTTCTTTGGTAATGGTAGGCGATGCAAATCGTTTTGAGGGGACTGTTGAACTCCAAAAATGGTTCCTCCACGTGGCCAACTTATAGCTACTCCACGTATTCCTCCTTGCGAAATGAACAAATGGTCAGGCGCACACGGCCGAAACCGACGGGGGCGGCGACGGCCGTATACACTTCGACGGTCAAGTCAGGATTGGGTGGTCGGAACAGTGCCCAGGGGCTACACAAATCAATCAATAAAGGGAGAGGAGAATATATAACTTGTTATGGAATGCTATGTATTGAGAGTTTCATTACCTTTGCCTCTTGCCAAACTTTGAGTATTTATAGGTGGTATGAACCGTGGGATGTAGAACATGTGTATACATCTGACGGCATGAAGCGTCTGCTCATAGGCGTCAATCAGCCGCGCTTGTAGAGTGGGCGGACAGTTTGTTTTCCCCCGAGTTGAATTGACATAAAGTTGATAAGTCACATCAAATAGCCTCATGGGGACGTCAAATCAATTTAAACCCTAGATGCAGGATAAATCTTAAATTGGCGGCGGATCTTCTAACCGGGGTCCACCTGATCCCGACCTCGGAGGTGGGATACTTCGGCAGATCAGTAGTAGGAATCGATGTATCACTTCGGAGAAGCTTCGGGAGGGTCGGAGTGGTCTACTTGATCTTGGCTTCGGTGGTGAGATGACACTTTGGTATCGAGGCTCGTACAATCGAGGCGTAACAGTGGTCCCCCAAATCTGGGAATGAATATTTATATTATACGTGGATTTGTTTTCCTGACCGGACCGCGGCGTGGGGGTAGCTGAAACTTTGTAAAGCATGGGAGGAAACGCAGCGGCCGAGGCGATGAGCCAATGGGGTGTTCACGTCAGGTGCGTCCAAGCTTTATAAAATTTGAGGGACTCATCTTGCACCGATTCGTTGGCAGGAAAAGGTCGACGCGTGGGGAGATGGCTGAAACTTTGTAAAGCATGGGAGGAAACGCAGTGACCAAGGCGATGAGCCAATGGGGCGTTCGCGTCCGGTGCGTCCAAGCTTTGTAAAGTTTGAGGGACTCATTTCGCACCGATGCGTTGACAGGAAAAGGTCGACGCGTGGGGAGATGGCTGAAACTTTGTAAAGCATGGGAGGAAACGCAGCAACTGAGGCGATGAGCCAATGTGGCGTTCGCGTCGGGTGCGTCCAAGCTTTGTAAAGTTGGAGGAGGAGCTCATCTGAGGCGACCCAAACGTCCAATGATTTGACAACTGTTGCGTGTTTCCAAGGTGAGAGTTGGGTACCATGCCCATTCTCCTAAAAGGCTGCTGCGGCTAGTAATTATTATTGATGGCTGTTTGTAACCGAGGTGACGCGTTTCAATTTAGCGTGAAAGTCAAAGCGACATCTTGGGCGTAGATCAAATCTGGCGTTTCATTTCAACGGCCGGGATTGAGGATGCGACGAACAGTTTAGATTGATCGTATTTGAATTCAACGGTGGAGATTGGACTTGTCTTTCCTATAAAAGGCGAACTTTGGGGGTTTATCAGAGTTTCTATCTTTGCCAGACGAAAACCAAAATTTGCTCTCAAATTTCCGGCGATTTTCGACGTTTTGCAAGCAACTCCGGCGAGAGAGAACGATACTTCCGGCGATCCTGCACCATTTTCGGCTAGGAAAAACTTCCAAACCCGTAAGTTTCAGCACCCATTTGGACTGTAAAAAATTTCTTAACGAATGGCCTCGGAAGGGAGTTCTGGTTTGGGGAGGGGCTTAGAAATAGTGAGGGTGGACGAGCCCATTGTGGCGACCTCCTCAGAAATAGCTGGGGCAATAATGGGGGGGGAGAACATATGGAAGCGACCAGATAGCCCCCCGGATACTTCTGTGCATTGGGGGATATCGGACTACCCATCAAAATTGAGGGAGGCCGACCTGGGTAGACTTAGAACAGAATATAGGATCCCAGATAGTGTAGACTTGATTCTCCCCGGGCCGGAAGAGAGAGCCTGTTACCCAAGGCCGGGCTGTGTGGCCATTAGTGAGGCGATCCTTAGGGCCGAACTTAGGCTGCCTATCCACCCATTCTTTAGGTTGGTGCTTAGGTCTTACGGGCTAGCCCCGACGCAACTCAATCCAAACTCCTGAAGCCAGATGGTGGGCTCCTGGATGTTGTGGAAAGAGGCGTCGTTAGGAGTGGAGATGCCCCTTTCCGTTTTCCAGACCCTCTATATACCCAAGGTTACTGCCGGAGGGAATAAGACCCGTGGTTGGTACTACCTGACGTCATGGGCTTCCCACACTCCATTCGTGATCGATCTGCCGAGCTCCATCAAGGAATGGAAGAGCTCATGGTGCTGGGCAGCGGGGCGATGGGACACAATGGAGGGGGACCCCCTGGCGCCTCTTACAGTCCCGGCGAAATTTTCAACACTTAGTGAGTATAGTATTTGCTCCTTTTGTTTTCTCTTCGGTTCGGCTTGTGTTTAACAGTTATGTTTCCTTTCGTAGGTTCCCTTCCTCGGTGCGAGCTATCAACAAAGGACTTTGACACTATCTGTGTCATTTATCAGCTGCCTCAGAAGAAGAGGTCCTACCACAGGCTGATCCGGAAGAACATCCATTTCATCACTCACGACTTAATGGCGTCTCAAGGTAATAGGACCGAGGCCCATACTTTTTTATTCCGAACTCCCTAGACTTGTACTATTTCCTTATTCGTTTCTTCACAGATAACTTCAGCAAGAAGCTGCCAGTACGCCCCGACTTCAAGACCATCCAGAAAATGATGGCTGAGGCACGGACGCTGAAGGCCTCCTCTTCTTCGTATAAGAAGCAAATGGAGGAGCTGGTGGGGGCCAGTAAGAGGCTTCAACCTCCGACGGAGGAGGAGGTTCAGGAGGACCCGGAGGCTGACCTTCGAAGGAAGGGCAAGAAGAGTGCTGCCCCTCCCAGACGCCCAACTGTGGCGAGGCCACCCCCAGTTTTGAGGCAGACAACTATTCCCACGGGGGTGGCCCTCCCGGAGAGAAGCCCCGCTGCGGCAGAGCCTGTCGTTGCCTCGGACACAGCGCCCCTTGTGGCAATACCCATTGAACAAGTTCTGGGGTAGCA